CCCCCCCATCGCTGACTTATTAAACTTTTGTTCTGTACTCTCTGCGTGGAAGCAACCATCTTGGTAGGGCTGCAGGACTTTCTTCAAGTCAGTCGCCCCCCCTCTTCGATGATTGACTTGTTATCTGATAATATTCAAGGAGCAATAGGAAAGCAGATAAAGCAAAAGCAGTTAGATCCTTGCATTGCTGGTCCTCAGGTGCAGCTTCCTCTCCATCGAAGAGAACATTCAGCAGCACAATAGGGACATGACTTAAATCTTACTGAAAATATCATTAGACTATCATTCAGAGGCAGCATTGCCTTAAATGATCTCAAACTATGGATATACATCTTTGAGGCTAAGGAAATGCACTGCTGTTTTAAAGGATTAATTTCCAGGCAAAGGGTTTTTTTCAGGTTAAAGCACAAAAAGGCCACTGTCCATCAAGAGGGATCCATGCAGGGACCCCCTGCTAATCGGAACGGATGTCACCGTTATGACATCCGCGTCTGTCCACTTTTTTTTTCCTCCATCTTGGGGTAGAGGGAAAGAAACTGAAATTACCAGACCCCATGTCAGTCTTTGGGGAATCGGATTTAAAGGGACTTGTGTCCCTTTACATCAGATTGCCCCCATCCAGCACAGCCGGGTCCGGTGAAATGGAACTCTGATCCGTTTGTTTTTCCGGCCCTGGCCGGAGGTGGGGGTAACCAGGTGTAAGCTGTGGTGAAAACAGTGACTGGGACCTTGACACTTGGGTCTTACCTCCTTCCTACAGGGCCTTCATTGGAACACTAGAGAGGCCTGTTAGATGGGCCTAGATTGGATTTCTAGTAGAAGTTACTCTTTGAGTAACGATGTGGGCAGCCTTGCAAACCGAAGAAACGGGGGTACCTCCTGTTTCGGGACTTCCTTGTCACTTTGGACACCTAAGTGTCAATTCAATCAATTTGCTTCCAAACACTTATGATTTGTAATAAACTACTTATAGTATCTTATTAAAGCATGCATTTTGTTGGGTGAGAATGTGGAACTTTTTTCCTGTTTCCGTTTTTTCTGTTTTTCCTTGTATATTTAAGCAGTTGAAGTCAATAAACGACTTATTCTAGTATTTGCATATAGTATTTAAAGCCTAAATTAGTTTACAGATAATAGTTGAGGAACATTGGTAGTTTGTTAAAGTGCAGCAATAGAAATGTAAAGGTTCATATTCTCCTCGTTTTGTTTACATCCCTATTTTCTCTGCTGTAGAAGCTCGTTTAGCCTTACCACCATATTTACTCTTTATTTGCTCTGCATTTTTAGCATTTTATTTATTGCCTTATTTTGAGCTCTTCCACCGTTGCTTCGTGTCGATATGTAAGTTAGGAAATGAAAATATGTGAAACATTTGTTGTAGAAAAGTGTGTATCTTTAGCGCCATCTTTCCGGAGCTATTCTGATCTACAAATCTTTCATTCTCTGCAGGTAGCTTTAACCAAGAGGGCTGACCCAGCTGAACTGAAAACTATATTTCTGAAGGTATGGTATTGATTTTAATTTTGTTTGGGATTTATAAAATGCAGCTGTATACAACTGAGAAAGCTGTAATACAAACAAAACCACAAGCTGTACGCAGAAACCATAATGAATGATATAGAGCTCCCTACCCTCACCGCCTGAAAGTCTGTGCAATGAGGAACATATGATACTTCTAAAGGATGTAGTTGCCCAATTGGACCGGCTACTAACAGTAATGAAAGTCTTGTGGGCCTATTTATAGAAATCGTGAAAAGTCTTTCCTATAGATATGTTTTGCATCTTTGCTTTTCCACCCAATTATATTCAGGTTGGCAATGAGGTGTTACCTTGAAGTAGAAAAACGTGGAAATAAAAAGTTTGGCAAAAAAAATGCCTTGGGAAATGTTTTCTATCTAACTTTGGTCCATCAATAAACAGGAAAACCTTTATAAATTGGTAGTGATCTGCAGAACAGATTTCCCTGGATGTTGTTACATGGAGGATTTCTCGATTCTTCTGTTGGGCAAGTGATAGTACCCTAACTAATAACAAAAATGTACCTTATCACTTGGCCACGTATGTTTAATTGTATTATTTTTAATATTCCCTGCACATACCCCACAGCATTTTAAAATTAAGCACGTTGTACCTCTTTTTCAGATCTACTTGTATTCCTCTGCTGTCTGGACATATTCCTGCAGGACCACAATTGCTTACCCTTTAGGCCCTTTTCATGCTGTCCGATCAGGAGGGGATCCATGCACAGATCCCCACCTGATCGGAGCGGTATGAATCGGATGTCACGGGAGTCCGTCCATTTTTTTTTTTTTTTTCTTCTATCTTGCGATGTAGGAAAAAAATTAAATGACCGGACCCATGTTGGTCTATGGAGAATCGGATGTAAACAGACATTTGTCCGTTTACATCAGACTACCCTCGATCCAGCACAATCAGGTCTGGTGAAATGGAACACTGTTCCATTTGGTTTTTCCGTACCTGGCCGGAGCCGAGGGCAATCGGATGTAAATGAATGCCCATTTAGTTTTACATCTGGCTGCCTATAGACTTACATTGGGAATTCGATCGGGTTCGTCTGGAAAACATGATAGGTGGACCTGATTGGACCGCCTGTCTCAAAGGGCCTAAGGTTGTCAGCAGCGAGGGCTGTCATACCTAAACTGGGGAAAATTGGTAGGCCTGTGTTTGAGGTTTACCCAGGCTTTAATACAAGGCATTGTGAGACTGTGTTGTTAAAATGCTATAAAATTATTGTACTTCTGTCACTTCCTTTCATAGTATGCCAGTGTGGAAAAGGATGGAGACTATTTTATGTCTCCCCTTGACTTTGTCAGACGTTACCTGAACATCACCGGAGATGGAGAGCCAAATCCCAAAACCATGCAGCTATTGACCGGCGTGGTGGATCAAACCAAAGACGGGTGAGAAGCTTACGAATTGATCACATTTGTACTTTTATTGATTCATTCAGTAGAATCCTGTACTCTTTACTACCTGTGGTTGGAGTCAACAGAACTATAGTCTTCTTTTTTTAAATGTTTTTGGGGTTTTTATAGTCCTAGTTGAGGGATCAGCTTAATATCAATAATGTATTTAACGTTTGGTATTGGTTTTAACATTACATTTCTTTGTGTAGTTTATATTAACAGTGAACCTGATGGAGGAAAGAGAAAGTTTGTTGCTGTGGCGTTTACTTATGTTTTGTGGTAATTTTTGATGGAGTGCTGGAGCTTATCAGCCTGCCGGATCACAGGCCCAACTGACTGCTCCCAACACGCGTGTCTCCTCTTAAATGTGAGGTAGATGATAGAGAGAGGATGATCTCCCTCAATCTCCCTCTCCTTTTGAACTCTATACTGAGCTTGCTAGCACTATTATCATAATTAACATAAATAATGAGCTATATTATTAGTGCAACGTTGCAAAACACACAAATGCAGCATAGCACAACATGGAAAACATAACAATATAAACATCTGTGCAATATAATCCAGCACAAATAAACCACTCAGTGGCACGCCCCTGATGAAGTCAATGGACGCAAAACATGGGGCACATTAGAGGTGATGTCATATATGTTTGGAGGAGCTAGGATGCTCATTTTTAGTACCAGCAGCAATGGCTCTGTCTGTGTTTGACTACGCCTGTCCTCAGGCAGATTGTGTGGGCAAGAGTGAAGTGCCCAGTAACATGTGAGTTTGTTTTTACTCCTTTTATAAAAGTGTTTTTTAAACCGTAAGCAGTATGGAATCCTTTTTATGCTTTATTTCTGGGAGCTGGAGGGTGGCTACTTTTGTTCCCCATGGTCCCTGTGTGTGTTGTAAAGTAGTCACCGCTCCAAGCTCACTCCCGGGATGGACTACAATTTCATGTTTAGTTTACTAATTTGTATTGAGATGGTAGTCCATCATGTGAGTGAGCTTGGAGTGGTGACTACTTTACAACATACACAGGGACCATGGGGAACCAAAGTAGCCCCCCCTCCAGAAGGAAGGACAGTGTCAGCACCAATTCAGAGATGATTTGAGGATCTACAGCCGAGTGATACACAAATAAGATACATTTTTGATAATAGTTAAGGTAACTGAATGTATTTTTAAGGTTTTACTCCTGAGTTTTAAACGTTGCATGTTGTGTTTAATTGTATTGCACTTTTTGCACAACTTGAAGTGATCAAGCGTTGTTAAAATACTTCTCCATCACTGTCCTGCACATACTCCCGGCTCCATCTTGCAGCCAAGTCCCTCTTCCAGTTTGACACCCAACTGCCTGGGGTGGGGGTAGTGAAGACTACAATTTTATGATTTTGTGTTATTTATTGGAGTTCTTTAAATATCGGTCTGCTTAAAGGCATCCATTTTTCTTTGTCTCTCCTGTTGATGACGCTCCTGTTGGAATACTTTGTGTACACCGAGCTAAAATGAATATTGTATTCTTATAATGACACTTTAAATGGTTGCCTTTAGAATCGATCTTTTATCTGTGACCTTTTTCGAATACCTTGCTCTTCCGAAGCACAATTTTATCTCTGACTGACAATAGCTGCGTGATATGAAAAATATCAATATCTCCGATGTGTCATGTGCCCTCTTTAAGGCAACTGCTGAGGAGGGGAAGTTGTTGGGAGGGTTGCATGTAGGGATGGGGGAATCTGCAAGGGTGTCACTGCTGTTAATTGTTCACTGACACATAATTGTTTTGTTGCCAGGCAACACTGCACTTTGAAGCCGCTACCGATGCACTAAAAGATGGAATTATATAATGGAAAGCCACACATAACCTACTTTTCAAAGGCATTACACAGCGTCGCGTGACATGCTTCTGGCCCCACATATAGTCTATTGTACAAGTTGCAATTATTTGTCATTTGGGCGTAATTTTCCTTCTTCTTGAAACATTTTTGGAAAATAATATATCAAAGTGAGTGGCGTTGTCCGCGCCGAGGCCCTCCGAACCCACGCTGCCATTTACAGCGACGATAGTTTTGAATAAGTATTCGTGTTATTCTACTGTACCCTTGTTAGAAGGTCAGCTTCCTGGCATGGCCGTGTGTTGTAGAATGTATCTAACAGAAATTGGACAGGCTTGGGTCACTGTAAATGGGCCACTTTTCACATGCCATGCATTGGATCTAAATGTTTTGTGGTTTTTTTTTAGCGATCTATCAGAAATCATTCTCTTGCCTCGGTAAGAAAGGGAGCAAATGTTTTACAATGCACTTATGGCATCCCAAAACTGTGTGAACAGACAAGTGTCTGCAGGGGCAGCTGCTGACGGCCATTATTGTTCTGATTCACCTTTCATACTGAAAATCTTGTCAAAACATTTGATAATGCCATTAGAGACTTGACAAATTCCGTTCAAAGTTCCATTTGGTTTTAACACTCAATTTTGTAAATGAATAGCGTTTCTCAAACAGAAACCACATTCA